AAAAAGCAACAAAGTTTGAAGCTCTGCAGGCCAAGTACTTAAATCTAGAAGAGGTAAAATAATTATTTGAACCCAGAGATATACTAAAATAATATCATACTAACCTTTTTTTTCTTGGTCCACACTGTAAGTTACGGAACCTCTTTTTTTCTGCTCAGATTTATGGCATTCATTCTTGGGCAATAAATCTGACAAGAAAACTTGGTCTTATAGGACAGACCCCAAAGTAATTTAGTAAGGGGAATATGTACTGTAGCTCATTGAATTCTGTATGTGCATGGTATGGTATAGTTGGTTTTTTTTTTGGTTACCCTAACAGGCATTACTTCCATCTCAAAATGTATGTTTCTCTTTCTTCAATCAGAATCTTGCCAAAGTAAAAGCAAGCCACACTCAGGTTCTTGAAGATATGGAAAAACTAAATGAAGAACTTAAAAAGGTATTCAAAAGAGAATAAATTATCATAGAACAAAACAGTATACTACCAAGTTGCAATGTTTTCATTTGCAATTATCAATGAAGTGTCATTTTGTGCATCCAATTTTTCTAAACATTTGTTGTGGACTTGTGTCAAGAAAGAGGGGCAGGAGATACTTGTTACATTTAGTCTGGCAATACCAGTAGGCTACAGTCTTGCTACAGTAAGCCACAGTCTGGCTTCAGTAGGCCACAGTCTAACCACTGTAGGCTACAGTCTAACTACAGTAGGCCACAGTATGGCTATAGTAGGCCACAGTCTGGGTACAGTAGGCTACAGTCTGGCTACAGTAGGCCACAGTCTGACCACAGTAGGCCACAGTCTGACTACAGTAGGCCACAGAATGGCTATAGTAGGCCACAGTCTGGGTACAGTAGGCTACAGTCTAGCAAGGCCACAGTCTGGCTACAGCAGGCCACTCACTGTGCAAGCATGTTGTATATTGCTAAGTTACATGTATGAATTTTGATTTGATGTTGTTTTGCATTGATTCATGTGCAGCAGTGATTTGTGGTTCATAATTTGTTATTTATATAGATGCATAGTGTACTTTTTCTTATCTGTACAGGAACAAACAAAGAATTTTGCTTTAAAGAATGACCTCAAGACTGGAGGAATAGCAACAAAGTCATTGTCAGAGGTAAAATGATTTTACACATCTTCTAGAGACAGGCTATGGTTTTTCTTTGTTACCCCTCAATCACTGTAATTTTTACCACCATTAGGCTGTCACCTCTATTAAGCAGTCGTGGTCACCCCTGACCAACAGCCTTTTTGTATTGTCCTGTATTGAATGGCACCTAAAGCAGAACAAATCAAATAAAACTAAGAATAAACCTCTAAGTAAAATTTAATCTATTTCATCTCACGAAATCAATGTTAGTTGTATTTTTGACGAGTTTTTGTACATTGCAGTTGTTAGTGGTCAATTATGGCATTAAATGACGATTTTTTGTCGTTTAAAAAATTTCCCTATTCTGTGGAATCTGTATTAAGCAGTCACCCTGCCATTCCCGCGGGTGAGCGCTTGATACAGGTTTTGGAGCCAGCGAACTGTGGGGAAATGTGACAAAATGTTATGGGGGAAGGGGAGGGTGGAGAGAAGAAGAAGTATCCAGTATGCACTAGCATAGCATGGTACAGAACCTTGACGCTCTTTGTGAAATGAAGAATTATTCAGTCCTCACTAGATCGTCAATACTTTAACAATCTAATTGCGTTTATTCTTTGTGTTAAAATTATAGCAACTTCAGATGATTGGAGATCTAAAAGCAGAGAATGCTATCTTGAAGGAAGCAAATGAAAAACTGGTCACCAGGTAGGACAGTGCCTTGTTCATGTGACTAAAAGCATTTTTATGTATCGTCGATTTATTGGTGTCGTTTTTGTTCTTTTGTTCCCCTAATTTGTTCCTCTATTGGTAAGTTTTTGTTTTCTTTTGCCATTCCAGTGCTTTTGATGCCGAACGCGAAAGACAGCACAGAGCAAAATACAGGCAAATGGAGGTACGGTGTCAGTTTGCCAGCAAGGAGACACAGAAGACACATTCAGTTAGAAAACAAACACTAGTTGATAGATAATTTTGAAGAGACAGATTCAAAGGAAGAAAAGTGTGAATACACTCTAGAAACCGCCAATGCCCTAATACGCATTTAAGCTGTTGATTATTGGGTCTTGAAAGGGGCAGGTCAACATTTACTAATCTTGTTTCAGGTGGAGATGGAGCAGTTAAGAGCTACTTTGCATTCAGATTTACAAGAGAAAAATGATATTCTTGACAAATTAACCAGTGAGAGAGGTGAGATTCGCTTTTAATGTGGTTAGGACTTACCACGCATTAGCCGCGCTAGGTAATAACGACACTCTATGAGATTGTAGGCAGAAACGTTTTAGTCATACCATACAAATCACATGGAATACCTAAAACGAGTTAAGTGGCTGAAAGCGTTTTTCCGCCCTTGGGGCCAGTTTACGTTATTTTCTTGGATTCTTATTGGTTGTTGAACTTTGTTTTGATTGGCGCTTCTTATGATTGCAAGAACGCGCGTTCTCGCGCGATTACTGCCGCGCACGTGCTATTTCCGTGGAATTCCTGATGGTTCTTTTTGTAATTCACTGTTACTCTGCCTGGTCACGTTCATTGCTCTGTTTGGTCAAGTATTGTAGCGCGTCACCAGAAACTTCTCCATCCATGTCATCATTATTGTAGAGTCTGCTGAAAAATTAAACGCGGAGCTACGTGAACTGAGGGTACAACATTATACATTAAAAGAACAGTATGATGACTTGAAGGAAAAGATGAAGTTCTTTACCAAGGTAATTTTTAAGGGCAGGCTAACGTTGTAATTTCTGCCATCGTCTCACTGTTTCCATGTAGGGGACATTTCCCCTCAAAATAGCTATCTTTACCCTTTACGCTCTAAAATCATTATGCGTTTTCTCCACACTGTTCTCTTTACCTCTCCTAAGGTGTTGACAAGGAGAATTTGTTTAACAATCACGAGCTTTCGTTGGCGATCATTTCCTTTATTCTTGTGACAGTAATGTGTGATTTAGGAGTAATATTGTAAGGAGAGATTTGATGCAAGTCACTCTTAGAAGCCAAAGGTTTTAGCAGCTTAAACACTTGTCTTTACAATTTGTTATCTTCAGACAAGAAGAAAATAATAATTGGTGAGCTTTGTTGATTTAGATAAGTTTTGGAACCCCTAATAAGTAGTTACTAAACTCGCCGTCGCCTACTGAACTTTGCAGGAAAGTGCGGTGGATTTTCAGGAAATCGAAGAAGCTCTCGTGCTGATTAAAGTAAGTTAGTTATTTTTCTGTTTTGCGTAAGTTGAATCTGTTCCGTTCGGCTCAATCTTCATGACAACAAGTGTCTCATAGTAGACTGCATCCTTTGACTTTTTCTTTTCTCAACAGCACAGGAAAGAGAAAGGAAGCCAGGACTTAGATTTCTTGGAAAAAGTTGATGACGAAAAGAGCAAAGGTAAATTTTTACGACGAACGTTTCTTGGGTGAAAGAGCGATCCATGGTAAGCGACTTTCAGAAACTATATCACGATGCTTTCGATTCCGTGAACAAAATATTAATCATGTCTTTCGTTCTTATAAATTCTCGCAGATATGAAACGACAAGTACAAGAATTACAAGCTGCACATGCGGACACAATCAATGAACTCGAGAAAACAAGAAATATGTTGATTATTCAGCACAAAATTAATAAAGATTATCAAACAGAGGTGAGCTGAAAATACGGTGCTTGTGTTGTGGTGATCTTACTATTTACTCTCAAAATAAGCCCGCGGTTTCGTCTATAAACAAAGCCTTAAAAAAAGTACTTGCGATTATAATAAGCTGTATTTTTGAGTGGAATGCAACAAGTGGAACACTCTATGGTTTATTTTTGGGCGGAAAGGGGGTAAATTTCTAGAGAAACTGTGGTGCTGCGTCGGTGGGAGAGTGTAACAGGATAATTTAGCATTATCAACTAACATAAAGTAGCCACTGTAAAGAGTTACGAAGCTGACCTTTCGAGCGTTAGCCCTTCGCTCTGTGAGCCTGTTGAGGTCAGGTTTCAAGACTTGGCTGGGTCATTCCGTTTCGTTCTTGGTTATGATACTTAACTCAGAGTACCTTTCTCTACCTAGGAGTAGAATCGCTGAAGAGTGTCAACCTGAATTAATGCAGGAGCGATTCTCTCAGTCACGTCATAGTACACATGCCGTGATTAGTTTTGCTAGCTGTGTCATTGAGTTATTCCCTTATGCAGAATTAACTGATCCTTTTTGCTTGCAATTCAGCCAATCACAACGTCACTCGAACCTGTGAAAAATTCGTTCTCCCGTGGTCTTTACGCTAAATTCTTCTCTTGGCTTGATTCTGAATCTTTAATTCTTTTTAACCTTCTTTTTTCTGTTAAGGTGGAGCGGGTAACCAAGAAGATGACTGAAGATAAGAAAGAGTACGACCTTAAGATGCAAGAGTACGCTCAGTTACTGGACATTCGGGCCGATAGAATCCGAGTCAGTACCACAATATTACTTACGTTTCAGTTTGTTTTGTGGCAAATGTTCCTCCTTCTATTAGCAGACCGAACGTTTACTCCGTGAGTGAGATTTTCGGGCAGGTATTTCTTGTTTGTCTGACCACTGTCAGTGTGTGTGTTTGTCTGTCTGTCTCTGTCTGTCTATCAGTCTGCCTGTGTGGCTGTTGTTAAGTATCTATCCTTTTGTCTTTCACGGTCATCTTGTCTCCCAACGTCAATCCGTGAGTCAATCTAGGTGTTTGGTTTCAATCGTGTGCACTTGATATGCATGCGCTCTTTAGAGCGGACTGTAAGTACCGACATCTATTGTTCGTGTCATAAAAAATTACGAGAGTTGATCCTTGCATGGTAGAAGGTCTCGAGAGAGACGTGAAAAAATTTGGTACCCTTTCCTGGAAACAGAGCCTCAAATGTTTCAGAGGAAATTAACCGACGTAGTGTCTTATTTTGTAAATTTATTCATATGATGTGCGTTGTTATTTTCTTTATTGCGTTGAAGTATTGTTCAATCTTCCTTTTCTTTTTCTACAGAAACTTGAAAGTCAGATGCGTGACGTAGCATACGGAACCAAGCAGTACAAAGCTGCTCCTTTAGAGGTGATACAATACACAGAAATTAATAAATGCATAAAGACAAAGATGTTGTTACTGAAAAAA